AATTTTAAGCCCTCGCTTCAAAGTATTGCCGGCCATCGACCTCACTCGCTGTGTGGGAATGTGTTTACTTAGCCTCCCTGTCAAAAGTTCTATTCGTGAATAGCATGCCACGGAGACCTTGAGTGTCCACCTTGAATAGTATCTCACTCTTAGTGACCAGCAGAGACTAAAAACTACCGGCAACATACAGCCTTATCTCCAAGTTACGATAGGCATTTAAGGTATGAGTACTTGGAGGTTCCTCGAAAAGAACAGTGCCTTCTTCTCTTGGTAATCCGGCCTATCAGACACCAACATTGGACGATAATCCGATGGAATGGTGAGTCATAAAGCACGTTTTCCCTAACATTTGTTTCCCAATGCATACTAGCTAACTAGAAATTGCAGTTCCAAACAGACAGAAGAAAAGTGCGGATTTGACTAGGCATGAGTGTTGGAGATCAAGAGGAGACGAGGTTAAGTGGGACGGGAGTAAAGGGGTTCAGTCAAGTTCCCTATGGCCGTCCCAAAATAGAGGGAAATACACAAAATAAACAAGGACAAATCTTTCCTCCGAATCATGATAAGGAGGTAATTCGAATAAATAGGTTAATGCCCTATAATCGTGACTGCGTAGGCTCATTGTGGTATCATTCTGAGTCGAAGCTTTAGTGACCAGGGAAGCTATTTGTACGATTTATTCGCGGCTGATTACTCAAGAAACATTTTGCCAATGACCCCAGATGCGTCATTTTAGTAGACAAGCTGATCCGAGACATTGTACCATTACTAGAAAGGGCAGCTATATTGACTGGAATAGACTCTCCTCTGACTTCTTACTGGAGGTGAGTCCTTCCAGGCGTCCAGATATGGTCTGCAGATTAATATCTTTCTTGATGCAAGCTCAGAAAATACTTCATGAATGGGACCAGAAAGCAGGCATGGTCTTAGTTGCCCTTGTAAGAACTGGTAATTGGGTTGGTCGCTATCGATGGAGGGCCACTGTTGCGGTGCGCATCTTCAGGCATCGTTCTGCCTCGGAGGTTATACCAGCCCTTTCAGGCATTTCTCATTCTTCGTTCAACCAACCATAACCCCGGAGATTCGTCTGACTAGGCGTGACAGGTAAAAACGATGGGGCCATTGAATCACTCTACACTCCAGAATATTCAATGACCTCCCCTTAAACGCGCTGTCGAAATTATCATTAATATCTCGTATAAAAACCGAAGGTGCACTCCCAACTCCATGATGGTGTAAGTAGTTTGTTGCCAAACAAGGCAAATTGATGCATCTACAGCTGGAGATATCAATTAGGAGGGAACAGGCTAGCGCTTGAAAGTGAGGACTTGGAAACTCGTGATTATCTACTAAAGTCTCAAACCCAGAATTCGACTTTCAGGTTTACGCCGGCTGTAGGAATGCTGGGCCAAGCATGATTAGAAGACATTGGCAAGTATATCTGATTCTCACATGCTACCTTATGTGACATAACATAAGATACAAATTAACATTTCGTGGATTCCTTAAGGACGGTTTTATGGTGCAACCAAAAAAGTTGATTTTACTTCTCTTTCGCAACTTAACCGTATTCTCAGGGAGACCCAAAAGAGAGTGTACCTCGTCCGACGACCTCTGCTAAAGTAATAGAGATAATATCCAGGGTTAAATTATGTGATTTCTATATTCCCATAAGCTTTGTGAGTATCTTAGTCTGCTAATGTACTAAGTCTACGGTCCTACAATGTGTGACAGAGGACGCCAAACAAAGTACATTTTTAGAGGCGGCCCTGACAATAGGACCAAGTTGCAAAATGAGGTCAAACTAATTCTATTTAGCGAAAGAAGACTGAGAGTTAGAGGCCACATTATCTTGATATTCGTACTTTTGATAAAATTATGAGAGGTTTGTAACCAGATACACCATTTGTTGCAGGTCGTCATAGCGACTGATACGACTTTGCCCACATTATACTGAAGATATGGATTATATATTTCACTTAAATGCACTCACTTATACCTCAAAATAAGCCTTTCTCATCCAGTGCAGATTCAACCTCGTCCCAGTCTCATCGGCAATATCAGCGGGAATTGAATTTGATTTCTGTATGAAATCATACGTTTATGGGAGGTATTATGACTAGGATGTTGTGGCCTTTTGTGTGGTCGCGGTCCCCTTTCGTTGCATAGAACTTGTTTGACCTTGCTTTCGCAACTTGGTCATATTAGCAGGAAGACATAGAGCAACACACTTTGCCCGGCGTCCATAGTATACATCATAATTGCCAAAGTCGGACCGTGGAATTGGTGCACTCCCAGACGTTTAGCCGGCATCATAGTCGGCATCGTTGCTGAGAATGGCAACTCACTGATGATGCCGACCACGAATCAGGCGAAACATCTGAGAATGTACCAGGTCCAGGGTCCGACTCTAAAAATTATCATGCATGCTATGAACTCCGAACTAGGTGCGTTCCTCTAGGACTTCTTACGAATATGGCCAAGTTGCGATAACAAGGTCAAACAACTTCTATAATTATAAAAGTTTATCACTCTTAAAACCATATCTAAGCTGACAAATTAGGAAAGTTCGTCAGCTCCTCCATAAAATGCTGTATACTTACCATAAATCTATGTATTCTGATGGAGTATAAAGTGATTTGGGTAGTTAAAGTAGATTTTAATGCAAAGGCATGTATGTGCCTACTTGTGTGTTTATGTGTCTTTATTTGTACGCATATGCGTAAGTAATTAAAATAGAACATAGCATCTGCCTCCATCATCAGGTTTTAATGACCCCCAACCCCCTATTTTGTATATACTATAATTTTTACTCAAATTGACTAATGTTGGAAGCACGTATGATCAGGTAAAATTCATTACGGCCCATGTTTTCCATAGCTAGTACTTAATCCAGGCAGGGGTGAGAGGCACCGAAGCTTAGAGGCAGTTGAATGATCAGTAATGTATTCTTGAATGAAGAAAATAATAAATTATTAAATGTTGTCAAAGCAGCTTTTATTTCGCATAAAGAGTAAAAGGGATTCGCAAGTTTGCCTCAACTGATACCGAAGGAGGGCTGCCTTGAAGCTTTGAATGTAGATGTGTGCAATTAAGTGACCAGCTCACCATTCCGCAGCCCCGTGGATAAGTGAAGTGGCTGTAAATTACATGTAAATTAGTCGAAGAATAAGCGTGAAGTGGCTGCAATTGTGACCGAACAGCTGCATCCACCCCAAAGTCACTAATATTTTTGATCCAGCAATGCTGTCGTTCCATTGCACATGTGCTATGTGCATGCGAATGAGTCGTGTGAGGTGTGAAAGTAGATTCGAAAAGCAGGTCAACAAAGATGTCTCCCGGCGTCGGTGAAAGGGATCAAGCCAGCTGTGCATCCAGTTGCCTATTGTATCGGTTTCCGGCAATACTATTAAATTTTACTCAGCTTAGCCTTTCAAAATTTGTTTTCACATTCACACGACTCGAGTTTCATCCTCGCCTTGTTCCCATCATCATCATCCTTACTGGAACACGGAACCGGGTCTTGCGTATCGTGGCTACACGTTAGCAAACCACTAAACATCCAAGTTGGCCACTGTGTCACTGGGCCGGTGTGATATTAAATGCAGACAAGTCCTCTCAAAAATCACGTCTATGGTTGGATTGTCAGAGGCAAAAGTCTATTTTTTCGTAATTGAGTATGTTTTCGATAGTCCCAGTAAATCATATATATGAGTTACGTTCACCCTATTTATTAATAAAGGACTAGTAGTTGAATTTTCCACAATAATATGAATTGAGGTGACGTTTCCATTAAATTTCACATATAGACTTGTTTTCCCAAAAGGAGTTCTCATCCAGGGTGGACTGCAGTTTCGACCTCGCCTAGGTCTTATCAGGATCCTCCAGCCGGAGTCGAACCATGACAGTGCAGTTTTGAAAGCTCGAGATGTTAACCACTTTCCCACATTTCCACGAGTGCCCTTGGGCCACAGGGCAGATTTGAATTTTAAGGAATGTCAGGCATTTTCCATATCGCATTTTGTGTTGGGATTATCGAGGAAGCAAACTTATAGTTGATATTACTTTTTTCGTAAATGCGTGGATTTTAGGCTGATTTATTGGTAGTCTCGAAAACCTACTCATTTACCTAAAAAGTAATGTCGTCGTTGCTATAGCAAATATAAGTTTGCTTCATCGACAATCCCAACAGAGAATGTGATGAGGAAAATGTTTTACCTTGTTTGAAATTCACTTCTGCTTAGCAACCCAAGGGCACTCGTGGCAATGTGGTGTGGTGGTTAACTTGTCGCGGTTACACGCTTCACTTTGATGGTTCGAATCCCGCTCGGAGTATTGATAGGACCTATGCAAGGTCAAAACTGCGGTCCACTCTGAATGAGAACAACTTTTGGGAAAGCAAGGCTGTGCGAAATCCAATGGAAGCAACAGTTCTACTCATATCAGTCTAGGAAACTTCTACTATCAGTCCTTCCTCACCTTAAACGAAATAGGGTAAACACAACTCCTATACCTGATTTTGTGGAAATCCTACTAATTTACAATTCATGCGATGCCTCATTAGGATCGCGAAGTTAGGCGTATAAAAAAGCGACAGATGTTGCCTCCGGAT